CGCCTTGTAATCCTAGGCACTCTGGAGGAGAGCCGAGGTGGGCGGATTGCTCGAGGTCAGGAGTTCAAAACCAGCCTGAGCAAGAGCGAGACCCCGTCGTCTACCATAAATACGAAAGAAATTAATTGGCCAACTAATATATATATAGAAAATTACTGGGCATGGTGGCGCATGCCCTGTAGTCCCAGCTACTAGGGAGGCTGAGGCAGTAGGATTGCTTGAGCCCAGGAGTTTGAGGTTGCCTGTGAGCTAGGCTGACGCCACGGCACTCGCTCTAGCCTGGGCAACAAAGCAAGACTCGTCTCAAAAAAAAAAAAACACTGCAGAAATAAAATAGAAAATAAAAAAATTCTTAGCATAAGTAATGTTTCTCTCATTCTCTCTTGCTTTCTCTTTCTCTCTGAAGGTCATTACGTTTCAGGAACTATGACTACATTTTCTAAATATTGAATTTTAGTTATAGCATCAATTCTCCATTTGTAACATTAGAACTGACAGAAAGTTAAATCTCTCTCTTGGACCATTCTAATCTGGGTCTCTCCCCACACAGAGGTAATCATTTCAGTCTACAGTGCATCGTTCCAGGATTTAAATTTAATAGTTATTTGGGCCAGGCATGGTGCTCACGCCTGTAATCCTAGCATCTAGGAGGCTGAAGGCGGGAGGATTGGCTTGAGCACAGGAGTTTGAGACCAGCCTGAGCAAGAGAGACCCCGTTGGGTGAGGCACTGCACCACCTCCCAAATACATACTTTGAGATCTAGCCCATGTTAATTCCATGCCTTTTGATGGCTTTTATAGACTATTTCATTTCTAGATTTGCATAGTAAGCTCATTCATACAAGAAATATTTATTGGATACCACTATGTGCCAAACGTCCATTAAGGTACTTGAGATAGAGTGGTAAACAAAGTAGCCTCCAAATCCCTGCCTCATGGAATGTAGATGGCTCAGTGGCTGCATTGTAAACTTCACTTGGAAATTGTTTCCAATGCATCTCTGAAAATAAGTTGGGCACTCAGAGTAAAGATAATGATTTTTACTGTAAGCAATTTTTTTGATTAAAAAAAAAGGTTTATATTGTTAGCAGTAAAAAGAAGTACAAACTCAAATGAGTTTGTTTCAGCTGGGAAGTGTTAAGTATGCAGAGCTAAGACGCTCACATTTGCTGGAGTTAATCCTTTGAGGGCAGGTCCTGCAAGTGACAGAAAACCCCACTCAAACTGACTTAAGTATAAAACGGATTTTTTTTTCCTTTTTAAAAATGTAGATGAGAGACCCGCAGGGAGATCTTCCAGCCCAGTTTATTTGGTGGCCCAGATGATATCTTCATGACTTGTTCTCTCGCTCCATCTCTTGATTCTGTTCCCTCTGGATTGGCTTCACCCTGAAATGGGCCCTCCCCTTGTGGCACCAGCCTGTGTCCTGTAAGGCTCCAGTGCAGCAGGGAGAGAGAAAATGTCACCCAGAGTTTCTCATTGAGCCAACTCAGTCAATTACCTACTTTAGAATAAGTCCTTGGAACTAGGGGAATTTAGTGGGCTGTTAAGCACCCAAAGCACACAGCTTTAGAGTTGGGGAAGGGTGGATCCCCCAAAGAAACTCAGGGCACTGTTACCAAAAGAAGACAGAAGGGAAACTGTGCAACTGTCTTGGTTAGGACTTATTGTGTTTTAACTAATAGAAAACTGGTGTAAATAATAAAGGGGATTTATTGACTCAGGAAACTAGAAGGTCCTGAGGTAGAGAGGGAAGGCTTCAGGATTGGTTTGATTCAGGGGCTTGGTGCTATAATCGAGGAGGACCTGGTTCTCGTCTGCCTCTCTGCCAAGCCCCTGGCAGAGTCCATTTTATCCTTAGACTGGCTTTCCTCAGAGTGGCAAAGCAGCCACAACCACAGCCTGGGCTTTGCATCCACCTCCTCTGGCAACGGAAGGAGAATGGGCAAGCTCTTTTGGAAAAGCAAAGGCAATTACTTCCCAGAAGCCCCAGCACTTCTTGTCTCCCATCTCCTCGCTCCGAAACGGGTCACATGCCCATTCCTGATTCAGTGAATCTCTTTGGCCAGCATAAATGTGGACCAGATTTGCTTAGGTCTAGGTGGAGATTATTTTTACCAGAAGTGGGATTATCTCACCTGCCTTCTCAGGGTCCACACCTGGAGCTGGAGCTGGAGTTAGTCGTCTGCACCCATCACTGTCCCTACCCAGGTCAGGAGTTGGAGAGTGGTAGTTGCTGGACCTGGATTAATAGTAACGCTGGGGCCAGGTCTTGCTCATTTCCTTTATCTCTAGTGTTCAGCACAGGGCTTGGCACCTAGTAGGTCCTCAGTAGATGTCTGTTGAACAGAGTTAAACTAGAACAGTGCACTGTGTTTAATTTTGAAAGAAATCAGGAGTTTTGTGCATGAGTAAAATGATGGCCCAAAATAAATTCTGTCCCAGCTTTAAATATAGATTCAATGTGGAATCTGTCTTTGACCTGTTGGTTGATTAGAAAAGTAAAATGTGGAATCTGGGTAGAGGCGACAAGACCGCTTCTTCTCTTATCCTGTCCC